GGGGGGGGGGGTTTGAAAGAGCAGTGCGGCAGCTTGGAAATCGAAAGTGCATTCCATAAATAGTTTTTCAAAGGTGTAGTAACTAGGTGACTGAAGTTTCTAACTGGAGAACATGATTGATGACTCCTGGCTATGGATGTGTCCCATTGGAGAATATGAATTATGATACACCCAGGGTGGGTGGGGGAAAACCAGGGTCAAGGGTGACAATGAATTATGTGCCTCAAGAGTCGGCTACAACCAGGCAATGCTGGACATGTTAACTCCCAATAAATCCTTTTGAAGTTTTGGAAGTTTGGCCTTGAGACTTATGATTTAATTGGAGTAACTGCCGGAATCCTGACAGCTAGCCAACTCTTCACAATTCATCCTCATTACCAGGACACCTGACGCCCGGCCTCTTCCATTGCATCCCGACATCTAGTTGTGAAGTGAATCCATTCCATCCTGTGGGATTGGCAAAAACTATTGCAGATCTTGGTTGTGCGCCAAGGCCCGTAAAGATGAGGCAGTTGGCAAGTACCTCAAATGTGATCGCGGGACTACAGAGAGTGTTGTTCTGCTGTTGGAACTCCAGAACTGGGACCATAAGCAGGTTTTGGGAGACTGTTGTAAGTTTTGAACGGTCATTTAAGTGACCAGTCATTAAGTGAGGGCTACCTGTATCAGAAGACGGAGAGACATTTGAGGAGGTGGATACAGATAGATAAATAGAGATGAAAAACAGGCGGGTTAAGAATGTATTACTAAATAAGCGGTTGTGAGAATGCGTGTGTGTGTGAGAGAGAGAGAGAGAGAGAGATTGAGATTGTTTTTAATCTTATTTTTCTTTTTATTCTACAGGATGCAGGCATTTCTCCAACCCAGCGGGACGAAGTGATTCAGTGGCTGGCCAAACTCAGATGCCAGTTCCACCTTTATCCGGAAACACTGTCTCTGGCCGTTTGCCTCTTGGACAGGTTTTTAGCTGCCGTGAAGGTAACAGTTTGACCTCTTAAGATCTTTGCAAAGATAGTTAGGCCTCTTCCAGGCTGCATCCCAGCCTGAGCAAAGCCTTTTGGGATGAAATCCTCCATTTTCTGTTCACCTGGACTCTTGATGCTTGACTTACTCTGCATATAGGGTGTCCTGTGTACCTCTGTGAGCAATTTTGGCTGAAGGCCATGACATTTTTCTCCATGTTCATGTAGTTCATTCATGGCCGGAACTGAACAATTTCCATTGCTCTGCCTTCCCTATTCTTCAATAGTTTATTTCGAGATCTCCAAACATGGTGACTTTACAGTTTGTGGACTTCAACCCCCAGAATCCCTCAGCCAGCCATGCTGGCAGCCATGTTCTTAGCCAGCCATGCCAAGCATCTGAAATTGGCATGCTGTCTGAGGAATTCTGGGAGTTGAAGTCCACAAGTCGTAAAGTCACCATGTTTGCAGACCCTTGGCTTATTTGAAGAGGCTTAGAGCATTTCAAGTATTCTTCAACTTACAACCATTTGTTTTAGTGTTAGTTCAAAGTTACAACAGCCCTGAAAAAAGTGACTCTTTTTTGGTGAGGAATGGAAGGATTTATATTCTTTGCAGTCATCTGGTTGTTAGTACATTGTTACTAACGTTACTAGATGGTCGTCGTTCGCTCTAGAAAGCTCTGATCTAAATCCTTCCGTTCCCCGCCATTCAGTTAGAACCGAAGAAGTTTCTTGAATGAGAAGTGAAATGTTTTCAAGGGGGGAAGAAAAAAAACCAAAGGAGGTTCAGTTGCCTTTTGAAAAAGCACCTTGGGGAAAACCGTGACCTGGATGATTTGTGAATCTCCATAGACACTGGGAACAGCATTTTTCTATTTTCAACCCAAAGAGCCTGTTGCTTAGACTAAACCAAGATCATTTTGGGCCGCTTCAGTTTCCATTTTAGGGAATGGATCTATTTTCTTGCCTGGAATTAATGTCCACCAACAATTTAAAAAGAAACACACATTTTCCTCGCTCCCTTATTTGAACATAGGGGGAAAGAAAGCAAAGGGTTCCTTGTTTACCAGGCTAAATTAAACCTCCAACAAAAAATTAAAGATAGAAACTCATGCCAACTTTGCTGGGAGCAAAACCTTACGAAACACAGCTGGATTTATTTTTGGAGGAACGTGCCTAGCGGCCTTGCCCAATCTGGTGCCTTTCAGATCTGTTGAACATTTCTTCCCATAATTCCCACCGCACCTAACCAACCATTGGGAATTATGGGACAGGAATCCAGCCCATTGAAAGGCACCAGATTGGTGGAAACTGGAATACGGGTAGTCTGTGATGACCCAAAGGGGCGTGGCACAAAGGCAACACAGTCAGATAATCAGTAGGAGTCCCTTTTTTAGTTCCAACTTTGCCCCCAATGTCCTGGTTATCTTCTGACCGGAGAAAAACTCCCAGGAACAGCCTTTGGCTGCAGAGAATCAAGTCCAAAATGTGGTCAACAAAAACTGTAACTATAAGTCCAATCAAGGCAAAATGAGATAATTAGTCCGATAGGGCAGGAGCAAGATTTCCAGACATGAAGGCACAGCAATAACTCAACATGGTTGGGAAGACGCCAGATAAGCAAAGTCAACACAAGATAAACTCATGTTTGCTCCCAGCAGCTGCCGTACTCAGCATGCATTTCTTTTAAACTCTCTTCCCAGCTGTGGCTAATGAAGGGAATCAGGGCCCTTTCCTCCCCCGTAAGCCACTCAACCCATGTTGCTCTCTTCTCCGTTCCTCCCTGTGTGCCCTGGGATGAAGAGAGGGTGGGCCTGGGTCTTCCTCTGAACTCCCTTCTCCCTTGTTCTACCTCTTTCCTGCTCTGCCCAGCCGGACTTTGCCCTTCTCCAGTTTCCTCCACAGCCAATGGAGCCACACTCCCACTCCCTGTCAGCTGTTCGTCTTCCTCCTAGGATTCAGACTCGGACGGGCATGACATAGTCCTTGACTTACGTCTGCAGTTGAGCCAGAATTGCAGTCATAAATCATTGCAGTCATTAAATGGCTCACCATGTGATCACACCCAATCTGATGAGCTTTTTTGTGGTGGTGGTTAAATGAAAAATTATGGTCATTAAGTGAGGACTACCAGTATATCTCCTAGTAAGGATGTATATTCCCATTTTCATATACTTTTTAGCAGAGTGTGTAGCTCCTTAGTCTGTGATTTGTTTGCCTGTCATCGTTTTTGTCCTAAGTTATATTATTTAAAAGAAATATCCCTCCCTGCCTCTATTAATCTATTAATACCGCAGATACATTTATAAACCTCTTTGGAACAATATACCCCAGAGAACTGGAGACTAGTATCATCTTTCAGCATGGAAATGTAATTTAGAAAGCTCTACCAAAAAGAGAGTTTAATAGAAAATGTAAACTTTTTTTCCCCAGTTGCTCAACTCCGAAATCTGTCTCAATTTTTAGCAACCTAATGCTCCTTCCTTAAGCCTTGTGGATTCTGCAGCTTGGAGTTTTACCATCTGGCCCAAATTTAAGTCTCCAAATAGTTTCCAGCTAGGAACGGAGCTTTGCTTACTCAAAAACTCCTTTATTTTTCTTCTTCTTCTTCCAAATTAATTTTACAACCCCTTTCTTTCATCATCTCTCTTCCCTGGGCAGAGAGAAGAAGGAAACAGCCTAGCCGTTTATACTTCAGAGGGCACTTGCTCTGATTTTTGTTGATGGAACTCAGTATATGCCTGCGAGTCAGTTTTTGACTCCCAGCCTGACAAGTCCCTGCAGTTTTCTTGGCAAGATTTTTCAGAAGGGGTTTTACCATTGCCTGCTTCTAGGGTGGAAGAGAGCGTTGATTGGCCCAAGGTCACTCAATGGGCTTGGCGCCTGAGGTGTGGGATTAGAACTCTCACAAGCCTCTCCTGGTTTCTCCTCTGATCCTTAAGCACCGCACAAAACGTTTTTTTAAAAGTTTCTTGTACCAGCAGAGCTTTCTGTTTTCTCCTCCTGAAATTAGTTGCAGTTAACACGCTGCTTCGTTGAAAGATCTGAGAGCGATGGAGGAAGGAAATGCTCTCAGCCTTAAAGACAATGGAATCAAATAGTTTGGAGCAAGCGTTTCTTGAATTAGATCCGACACGTATCCTTCAGCAGGTAGAATTCATCTCTCACGTGGAATTGTCTTCTTAGAAACATCTCTAGGCCCTGCCCCATTGTTGAGAGCCAGTTTCATATGGGGGATGATCTAAAAACCAGGAGTTCTAGTTTCAGCTTAGGCATGAAAGCCAACTGGGAGACTTTGGGACAATCACCAGGAGACTGGGAGTTCTAGGCCTGCCTTAGGCATGAAAGCCAACTGGGAGACTTTGGGACAACCACTAGGAGACTGGGAGTTCTAGTCCTGCCTTAGGCATGAAAGCCAACTGGGAGACTTTGGGACAATCACTAGGAGTTCTAGTCCTGCCTTAGGCATGAAAGCCAACTGGGAGACTTTGGGACAATCACTAGGAGACTGGGAGTTCTAGTCCTGCCTTAGGCATGAAAGCCAACTGGGAGACTTTGAGCCAATCACCAGGAGACTGGGAGTTCTAGTCCTGCCTTAGGCATGAAAGCCAACAGGGTGACGTTGGGCCAATCACTCACTCTCTCTCAGTACAACCTACCTCGCAAGGCTGTTGTGGGGAAAATCGGAGGGAGAAGGAATATTAGACATGTCTGCTATCTTGAGTTATTTATAAAAGTAATAAAGTGGGTTATAAATAAATACATCAGTGAATAAACAAAATGTCTAGAACTGGGGATGCTGTTGGGTTTATTTAAAGACGAGCAAGTTCTCATGAAATTCGATGCTCTCTAAAGTTCTCTACCTGGGGCAAGTTCTCATTTATTTTTATTTTATTTTTCACATTTTATGAACCTCCCGTCTCCCTCATGTTTGGATGATTACAGATAGTCCTCAACGTACAACCATTCATTTAACGACCATTACGGTGGCCCTGAAAAAAGTAGCTTATGACCCTTTTCCCCACACTTAACAACCGTTGCAGCATCTCCATGATGAAATCAAAATTCAGACGCCTGGCAATTGACTCACGTATGATGGTTTCCAGTGTCCTGGCGGTCGTGTGATCCCCATTTGCGACCTTCTGACAAGCCAAGTCAATGGGGAGACCAGCATTCACTTTACAACTTTGTTACTAACAGCAACTGCAGTGGTTCACTTCACAGCTGTGGCAGGAAAGGTTGTAAAATGGGGCAAAACTCACTTCAGAAACTGCCTCACTTAGCAACGAAATTTTTTGGCTTAATTGTGGTTGTAAGTCGAGGACTACCTGTACCACAGAGGCCTACAGATGCAGATCCATCCATCCTCTTCCTTGCCTGCTTTGGTAGCAATTTGGAGAGCCGTAATGCACCCATGAATTCTTGGCAGAAATTGGAAGCAATCTGACCACCTGTTTTGTTTTGTTGTTGTTGGTTTTCAGATTTCGTGGTGTAGATTGTAGACGCTAAAAGCCCCAGTTTCCCTCTCCAGATGGGTTGAAAGATTTAATGGAGTGGTGCGGTGGCCTAGAGATGGAGTTCTCGCCTCACAATCCAGAGGCTGTGGGTTCGATCCTAGGTAGAGGCAGATATTTCTCTCTCCGGGCACACTGAGAATATATCTGATGAACAAAACTCCGCATTGGTGACAGGAAGGGCATCCGGCCATTAAATATTCTGCTAGCTCCATTCAGTTGCCCAGACTCCACCCCGCAAGGGATTAATGGGGTCGTTAAAAGATGATAATGATGGGCTGAAAGATTTAATCCCACCTGCAGAAACAATGCTTAGGATGTCCCCCTAACCAACCCTAAATTACCCATTCTGCTTGATGAGGAATACGGTGGATTTGTGTAGATGTTCCATAGCAAGGCCGGCCCTTGACTTGCGAGTCGTGTGCCCGGAGCTGCCTACCAGAAAGTACCGGGTGAGGCCAGGAAAAAATAATTAAACCATTTCGTTTACATTTAAATTTAATTTGATTTAAATAGAGTGAAGATGATGACTCTGTAATTATTCATTTCACAATCCCTCCCACCTTATTAAAAATTACACTTTGGTAATTACAGTTGCAGGGGCGTGGAGGTTGCCTCACGGAGTTTCACATTTATTTAGTTATTTAAGGTGCTTATTCAGTACATTTTACATACCACACGCAACCGAGCAAGGCTCAGAGTGGCTCACAACAACAACAACAACAACAACAACAATACTCAGAATAAGGAGCCATCATACCCAGCAAGGGAACCATAAGATAGCAAGATGGGTGTGTTACACGTTTAATAAATTAATAAAAATAAATAAATAAACAGCACTCTGAAGGAACCGCTGAAATGTCCAGGCCCAAAATGCTGGTGGTATTCCTTGTTATCTGTTTATTTTTGGGCTCTCCAGAAAAACCACGTTTTTAACGGCTCCCTCCCCACACGAGTAGGGTAGGAATCGACACAGATGGTCCTTAACTTAGAACAGTTCGTTAGTGACTGTTTGTAGTTACCACAGCACTGAAAAAAAAGTGACATTTTCACACTTGTGACCATTACAGCATCTCCGTGGTCATAATAAAAATTCAGTCCCTTGGCCTACTGACTCGTATTTATGATGGGTGCGGTGTCCCGGGAACTTACGATCCTATTTTTGCGACCTTCCGGCAAGCAAAGTCAACGGGAAAGCCAGATTCACTTAACAACCGTGTTACTAATGTAACAACTGCAGTGATTTGCTTAATGACCGTGGCAAGAAATACCGTAAAATGGGGCAAAACTGGCTTAACAGATTTCTCCCTCAGCAACATAGATTTTGGGCTCAATTGTGGGCATAGTACCTGTATTCGGTGCTCTTTTTGGATTATGTCGTTTCCTCCTACCCCTCATTCCTTTCTCTTAAAATATGTAATACAGGTGGTCCTCGGATTACAACAGTTCACTTAGTGACCATTTAAAGTTACAACGGCACTGAAAAAACTGACTTAGGACCGTTTTTCACAGTCACAACCTTTGTAGCCTCCCCATGCTCATGGGATCAAAATTCAGTTGCTTGGCAACTGGTTCACCCGTACGACCGTCACTGTGTTTTGAGGTCACGTGATCAGCTTTTGTGACCTTTGGACAATCAGTGGGGAAAACCAAATAACAGCCAGGTGATTAACTTTGTCAACTGCAGGGATTCAACTTAACTCTGGCAAGAAAGATGGGGCAAGAATGCGCTGAACAAGTGGTCCCACTTAACAACAGGGATTTTGGGCTCCGTGGTGGGCGTAACTCGAGGACCACCCGTATCCTATGAATCTACCCCAAGACTGACTGACTCACTACCTGGCAAGGCAGAGATGATAATGCAAAATGCCAGCCAAGTCTCTGCTTGCAATTATGCTGTTTGGCACCCACTGCACTCCACTTAACCTCCTTCATTGATTTTTTTTTTTTTGCTCTCTATGGATCTCCTCTGCTAGCAGTGAGGCCCCCCCTGCCTCCCCCACCCCACCCGAAGACGAGGAGACTTGCCGGGTGCCAATTATGCTAAAAAGACTTGGTGGATTCCAGATTTGCTTCTCGTAATGGAATATTGATTGTCTCCTCCGTGCGCCCGCCTCCATGGCTTCCTGAAAGCTGCTGCAAAGAAGGCCAAAGAGTAGTGAACTTATGGACTGAGATAACTTCCCTATCTGTGCTTGGCATCCAGGTTTCTTTGGGGAAATGGCTTTGGTTTTTGTTTTGAAATTGTCCTGCTTTTCTTTTTGTTCTTTCTCCCTTGTAGGCTCGCCCAAAGTACCTGAACTGCATTGCGATCAGCTGCTTCTTCCTCGCCACCAAGACCATTGAGGAAGATGAGGTCAGTCTTCTTCTAGAAAGCTTGGAAGTGTAATGGCTGCTGCGGTTTGCCGGGGTTGGAGCGAATGGGAATTTTGCTTGGCTTTGGACATTGGCTTTGATGGCTGGCTCAGGTAGCAAATCCAAGGAAGCCTCTCCACTTCTTCTACCTCTGGCATCCTTGTTGCTCTCTGAGCTTGATAATTTTTCTTGAAGATCTATCATTACCCGACTAGATAACATCATCCGTGCTGGAAGGCAGTGCGGTTTGCTCTCTGTTTATATGCAGCGGCTTGCCATGTTAGTACCCAACGTGTAATAGACTTGTACATAAACAAAGGGCAAACCCTATGGCTTCTAGCTCTGATGATGTTATCAAGTTGGGTAATGAAGCGTATAAGTAACATCATGGATAATAGAAGGGAGTGGGGATAGCTTCTATTTTTATTTAAACCCACTCCCTTCTGGCACTGATGATGTTACCTAGTTTGGTAACGAAACGTCCGCAAGACAACAACCAAGCCCAAAGAGCGCACCAGGGACCCCACAGGTCAACCCCAAGCTACAAGTGTTCTTCTCTTCTACCTCTCTCGAGATGGTTGAGGGACCACCTGGATCCCAGGCCTCAGGAGGGGCCACCCAGAGTCGAACGGTTGTGGCAGGAATGGCTTGGGGCAAAACCTGGAGAAGGTTTTGTTGAGGTTTCCAATTCTCTCCAAAATGTGCAAGCCAAGTGAAAGCTGCTTTTCCTAGACCACCCACAAGTACTGCAGGGATTAGAGAGGGGGGGGGGGTGGCTGAGATCCCGTAGGCTTCAGAAGGAGAACTGAAATGCCCCACCCCCCCACCAAACCCTTGAAGTTCTCCCCCCCCCCCCCCAAAAAAAAAACAACCCTTGAAGTTCTCCCCATCACGATGGAGATGCTGCAGAGGTGGTTTCCTTACCCTTTGCAACTGTTTGAAGTAACTTCAGATTGCTGGCGCAGCTAACCAAATACAAGAAGACATCTCCTATTGCCGCTAATGGTAGTAATAGTTGTTAGTTGCAAAGTCATGCCTGACCCATCGCGGCCCCATGAACAACGTTCCTCCAGGCCTTCCTGTCCTCTCCGTCCTCCGGAGTCCATTTAAGCTCACGCCGACTGCTTCAGTGATGACTCCATTTAGCCACTTTCTTCTCTGCCATCCCCTTCTTCTTCTTTTGCCCTCAATCATTCCCAGCTTTAGGCTCTTCTCCAGTGAGTCCTTCCTTCTCCTTAAGTGGCCAAAGTCTTTTGAGTTTCATCTTCAGGATCTGACCACCTAAAGAGCAGTCAGGGTTGATCCTCTCTAGGACCGATCGCCTTGCTGCCCAAGGGACTCGCAGGAGTCTTGTCCAGCACCAGTGTTCAAAGGCCTCCATTCTTTGGTGCTCAGCCTTCCTTATGGTCCAACTTTCACAGCCACACATTGCAACTGGGAAAACCACAGCCGTGACTCTATGCACTTTTGCTGGCAGGGGGATGTCTCTGCTTTTGAGTATGCTGTCTAGATTTGCCATAGTTTTCCTCCCCAGTAGCAAGCATCTTTTAATTTCGTGGCTGCAGTCCCCATCTGCAGTGATCTTGGAGCCCAGGAAAATAAAATCTGTCACTACCTACATTAGCTAATAGTAATACTTGCTTACTAAAACATTTTGACTTTGCTTTTTATTGCATGCTCTTTATTACATTTATTCAAGATCGGGCCACGATGCCTGGTTTGCTACTGCAGGAGTCATCATATTTCTTTTTTAATTAGATCATTTCAACTTTCCTTGTCAGCTGAAATAGGCTTTAGAGCTGCTCCTAAACACTGGGGAAATTTAACAATGGCAGGCAAATACCATGTCATTTGTAGGGTATATTTGCTGCCAAATATTATTGTTGGTATTCTTTAATTAAAAGAGTTTTGATCTTAGTTGTCTACCTGAAATATGTCCTCAGAGCAGTTTACAGAGGTATTAGGATTAAGGGAGGATTACTAATAATTTGATAAACACTTTTCTGCAAATTGTAACTGGTAGATTATTTAGCCTAATTGGTGTTCAAGCTGCAGCAGACGGTAACTCCTAGCTAATTTTAGTTGATCTCCAAAAGCCAAAGCAGAGTTTTAAGAATTTGGATAGGAGGCCACTAAGAAATCCCAGAACGATAAGTATCACTGGGAAGTCAAAAAACATAGTAGAATAAGGCAAGTGGGTTCAATATTTTTAAAAAGTGAAACAGATTCATGCTAAAATTGAATAAACTCTTGACTAAACAGAGGTGTCTTTGTAGGTCATCTAAATGTAATAATTTTATTAGAGTTTACAAAAGATAAAAGACTAATAAATCCAAGATAAGGCAGTTCAAGTTATTCTTCTGATTTATTATTTCTCTGCTCTCTTAAGAGATCATTTGTAAAATGCATTCTGGCGTTTTTTCTCCACATTATACTCTGGCATTTTAAAATCCGTATTTAGATCCACAACATCTGTTTCCACATCACTTTTGTAATCTGGCTTTTTTAATACATATAAATCCACCATATTCAAATCGGCCTCCGTCTGTTTTATCCAATAAAATCTGTTGTTATAGTATCAGACAATCTACTAAGTAATTTTTGAGTACATTGGTCCCAATCAGCCTTTATTTTTTTCTAAAGTCAAATAATATTGTCCCATTGTTTTAATGGGTCTCTTCTCCTTTAATTATAATCCTTAGTTTTCTCTTGATTCCCTCTAGTCAGCCTTCAAAGTCTCCTCTTACCATCTGTTTTCCAAATAGCAAAATTTTCCCATCTGAGGATTTTTTACAGTTGATTTCAAAAGTCCATCTAAAAGTCCCTTTACTTTCGAAAATCAAGATTCCCTTTTTGCTGTTTCCCTCCCTCCCAAAATTAAAGTACTTTTTAATCTTTAAGATGACATAAATCTTCTTTCAACTAGGGTGGAAAGAAATTTTCCTGCATAATGAAATGGCAGAGATAGCTGGCTGGAGAATTCTGCTAGTTGGAAGTCCACAAGTCTTCAAGTTGCCAAGTTTGGGGACCTCTGCTCTAAACTATGACTTGAAAAGTCAATATCAACACCTTAAATTTTGCCCTGTACAGACATTGTGTGAGCCTTTCTACTTTTTTAAAGAAAGAAATTCCTTTTAAACAAATTAAAAGGAATTACTTACACTTTTTTTTTAACCTTTTTAAAGAAATTGCACACCTTTTCATGCTGCCTGCTGCTAAGACTGATTTTGCCTAAATTGCTGGGGGGGGGGGGGGGGGGTTGCCCGGTTGTCCCACAATTTTCCCAAGATTGATGGTATTAGAAGTTGGCTTACACCTCCTCCACCAAGTCAGCCTGTCTCTTCATTATCTCTTTTGATCAAGTCTGGATAACTTGTCATGGCTCCACCTGCATAACTTTATTTTAGATAAGGATGTTTTAATTGAAGCAAACAGGGAAACAATTCTTGAAATTAGCTCCATGTTTACCAGAATTTACTTCCACACGGGTAGGCCCTTAAGCCAACGATGGACAAACTTCTAAAGCTGCCTCAAAAAGCACCCCACATTTTTGTCTCTTCAATGAGGTTCTTCCTCTTCTGTGCCTTTTAAACAACAATTAAGCAGACTTCAGAAGCCCAAAAAGACATTTTTGTGCTTCCGCAACATATGACAATGTTTCATGAGCCGTGTAAGGAGTTGCAGAGTTGGTCTCACTGCTTCACTCCAACCCAAGTCCGTACTTGGGGGGAGAGGAAACCATATATCAGTGGTGGCTAACCTTTTTGGGCTCCTGTGCCAAAAATTGTGCACGTTTGCACACTCGTGCTCATGTGCCAGCACCCAGAAGACAATACACGCCCCCCCTCATGCCCCCTACACATGCGTGCGCAATCCCCACCCACCCACGCCACCCCCTTGCCCGCACTGCATCTCACAGCTGATTTTCGGCCGGTTTGAGGCCTTTTTGGCTTCCCAAAGGCTTGTGCAGACTTTGCAGGCCGAAAACTTTCGGGAAAAACAGGAAGTGACAAAACGGGGCTAGTTTTCAGCCTGCAAAGCCTGCAGAAGCCTTCCTCAAGCCTTTGGGAGGCCAAAAAGGCCTCAAATCGGCCAAAAATCAGTGGCGAGGCCGGGCGCATGCGTAGTGAGGTAAGTTTGCCTGCAGCTCATGTGCCAGCTTAAATGGCTCTGTGTGCCACCTGTGGCAGGCATGCCACGGGTTCGCCATCAGGGCCATATAACTTCCACCTTTTCCAGAACTGAAGGAATAAATTTGTAGACATCTGTTTTGACTTGAATAATGACCTGAAAAGGAACATCAGGACTTGGTTGAAGAGACAAACTGTGGAGTTTTTTTCGTGATGGTTTTAAAAATGTTCTTGGCAGTATGTTTTAGCAAGTGGGGTTGATTATGCGGAGAGGTAAATACAGATAGTCCTCAACTTACGACCACAATTGAGCCCCAAATTTTCATTGCTAAGCGAGACAGTGGTTAAGTGAGCTGTACCCCATGTTACGACCTTTCTTGCTGCAGATGTTATATCAGGGGTCCCCAAATGTGGCAACTTTAAGACTTGTGGAGTGGCTGGAGAATTCTGGGAGTTGAAGTCCACAAGTCTTAAAGTTGCCAAGTTTGGGGACCTCTGTGTTAAATGAATCACGGTAGTTCAATTATTAACATGGTTGTTAAGCGAATCTGGCTTCCCGATTGACTTTGCTTGTCAGAAGGTCGCAAAGGGGGATCACATGACACACACACACACACACCCCGGACACTGCAAACTTCATAAATATGAACCGGTTGCTAAGTGTCCAAATTTTGATCACACAACTGTGGGGATGTTACAACAGTCATAAGTGTAAAAAATGGTCATAAGTCACTTTTTTCAGTGCCGTAACTTTGAGCGGTCACTGAACAAACTGTTGTAAGTCAAGGGCTACCTGTATAGGGTTTCCTGCTTGAGCAGGGGTCGGACTAGAAGACCTCCAAAGGTCCCTTCCAACTCTGTTATTCTGTTATGGCAGTTGAGCAGCTTTGGAAGGTTGCATTGAGAACGCTTTCCTCAATGATCTGCAGGGTGTTTCTTTTTTTTAATAAATTTTATTAAACATTTTCCAACAATTTATAACATATCAAATACTTTCAACAACATTACAGCATCAACATTCATATTCATATATTAGTTACTATATTACTTTTGTATCTATTGTTTAACCAGGTGTACCATGTGTCCCAAAGCAAATAATACTCTGTTTCACCTTTGTCTTTTAAGTCTTAAGGTCAGCCTGTCCATCTCTGCACAGTCCAAAATCTTTCTTATCTCAGTCCCCTCAGATGGTGTGTATACACAATTCTGGCCACTGTTGTTATATGTAAAATGATGTATTTGTCAGTATAATCTCCCCTTATTATTCCCAATAGAAACAATTCCGGACTAAATTAAATTTTTTGTTTTGTTCTTTCCTCTATCTACTTTTTAATCCTGTTCCAGTATTTTTTTAGCTTCAGGGCATGTCCACCACATGTGGAAGTAGGTGCCCTGTTTATTTTTGCATTTCCAACGTTCTGATTTTCTAGTTGGAAACATCTTTGCCAATCTAGTACGGGGTAGGTGCCATCTATAAAATATTTTGTGTCTATTTTCTTTATACGCTGCTGATGTTAGTTTGTAATTTTTCCCTTGTGGGGTGTTTCTTGAAGGATGCTCTTCATCCCTGTTTTCCTCCTCTTCAATCTTTCAGAAGATTCCAGTGCTGAAGATCTTGGCCAGAGACAGTTTTTGTGGCTGTTCTCCAGCAGAGATTCGCAGAATGGAGAAGATTATTCTGGATAAGTTGAACTGGGATCTACACATGGCCACTCCGTTGGATTTCCTTCACATTGTAAATATTTGGGACAAACCCTATTCCACTGTTATAAACATGTCTCAGCTGGAGGGTGCAGGAAAGGGTTTTAGTTTCTTAATTGTCCTTCAGGATACCAAGTGTTAAGACTAGGCAGATGGGCAACACACATCTTTATACTAAATTTTAATGTATGTGGTCAAATCTATTTTCATTTAACTCGTACTTTTGCGGTACAGCCCATTACACTGAGTTGCATTGACAGAGCAGGAACATATTTCAAAAATATCCCCTCTTTTATTTCATTTTATTTTATTTGCCACCTATCTTGTATTAAAATGACTCTGGGCAGCTGAATAGAAATTCAGAAGAATTCCTCAGTGTAGATCTAATTTTCAGAAGACTAGAAATCACTGGTCATTCTTGAGTTACAACCACAATGGAGCCAGTCCATTGCAGTGACAACTTGTGACAGTCACAAAGCAGATTGGTGAATTTTGCCACACTTGTATAAGCAAGGGCCACAGTTGTTTAAGCGAACCAGCGCTTTGCTGTGGGTGTGGTTTTGCCGAAAAGTGGAAGTAAACACCAGTTTTTTGGCAAAACCATTGTAAAATTGCAGTCACAGGACCACAGAGTTCTACCAATGGCGTAAATGCAGCCCAGTTTCCCAGCATCTAGAATGCAGTTATGTGACTGGAATTGGGTAGCGACCATTAAAACTTCGGATCCAAATGATAAATACACCCCACCCCCCCGATTAGTTCAGTGTTAATTTGATCGTTGCTAAGTGACCAGTTGTAAGTTGAGGACTGCCTCTAGGGCACATTTTGCCAACAAATCTAAAACCATTTCCGATTTCTTTTAGTCGATACCCAACTGCAAAAGTTGCACTGATGATTCTGAGAATTGTGTGTTTCTGTCTTACAAGTGACACTTGCCAGATTTTTCTCCCTAAACTGATTTCAGGGTACTATCAGAGTCAAGTATCTTAGTCTTCCTTTTGAGTCATGTTCTTAAAGCTGCTCTCTCTCAGTTTTCATTTGTATTTAATTTAATTTAATTTTTATTTAATTGTGGGCAGTGACCAACAAAATACATTGAAAAGCCCTCAGAAACAATGGCCAAATTCAGTAAAGACAACCTAACATATAGAAAGTAAACTAAGGACAACACACAACATATAGAACACAACATATAGAAAGATAGTTTGATTTGGTGGATAAGGCATCGGGTTAGTAACCAGGAGATGGTGAATTCTAGTTCCGCCTTAGGCATAAAAGGCAATCGGGTGACGGAGCCAATCCCAGGAGACGGTGAGTTCTAGTCCTGCCTTAGCCATGAAAGCCAGTCACCAAGAGTCTGGGAGTTCTAGTCTCACTTTAGGCATGAAAGGTGACTGGGTGACTTTAGGCCAATCACCAAGGAAACCAGTTTCTTTCTCTCAGCTCACCCCACCTCACAAGATTGTTGTGGGGGAAAATGGGAAGAAGCAGTATTAAATAGATTGCTGCCTTCGGTTGTATATATAAAAAATAATAATAATAATAATAAAGGCAGGATGTCCATTAAATAAAGAAATACCTGTCGTAGGAAACCTAAAAATTTAAGAGGGGAAAAAAATCAGACAAAGAGGAGAATGCAATAAAATGCAGTCTTAAAACAGAACGCAAAACAAAAGTGAATCTGCTAGAGAGAAAACAAACAACCTAGCACCATCGCTCCTGATAAAACCCCAGTGTGAAAGAAGGGAGAAAAGGTTTGGAGCTTACCTGAAGATCAGCACGTGCTTTCTTCCCCCAAGTGAGATGCTAAGGTTCACTCTTCTCTTTCTCATCCCACTCCAGTTCCACGCAGTTGCCTTGTCCAGCAGGCCTCAACTGCTGACCAGCCTGCCCAAGGTGAATCCGTCCCAGCACGTTGCTTTGCTGACCAAGCACTTACTGCATTGTCTAGCCTGCTACCAACTCCTTCAGTTCAAGGGCTCCATGTTGGCCCTGGCCATCGTGAGCCTGGAAGTGGAGAAGCTGATTCCTGATTGGCTGGCTCTCATCATCGAGCTGCTCCACAAGGCACAGGTTAGGAGCAGAACCTTTGAACCTTAGGTGAAAGGGGGATATGCTGTCTTGGAATTTGGGAACATACAAAGAAAGGTTGCTGGAACTGGGTCTGGCTAGTCCAGTGAAAAGAAGGACCAGGGGAGACATGATAGCAGTCTTCCAATATTTGAGCGGCTGCCACAGGGAGGTAGGGGTCAAACTGTTTTCCAAGGCTCCCAAAGGCCAGACAAGGAATAACGGATTGGAACTGAACAAGGAGAGATTCAACCTGGAAATAAGGAGAAACTTTCTGACAGTGAGAACAATCAACCAATGGAACAGAAGTTGCCTTCAGAAGTTGTGGGAGCTTCATCACTGGAGGCTTTCAAGAAGAAATTGGACTGCCATTTGTTGTAAATGGTGTAGGACCGTGATGGCGGACCTATGACACGTGTGCCACAAGTAGCATGCAGAGCCACTTGTGCTGGCATGCAAAGCCGCAGGCAAACTTACCTCACTGCACATGTGTGCGCCTCACAGCTGTTTTTTTTTCCAATTGGTTTGAGGCCTTTTTCGGCCTCCCAGAGGCTTGGAAAAAGCCTCTGCAAGGCTTTTCAGGATGAATTATGGGTCCATTTTGACACTTCCTGTAATGCCAGAAGTGACGAAATGGGCCTATAATTTGGCCTGAAAAGCCTTGCAGAGGCTTTTTCCAAGCCTTGGGAGGCCAAAAAATCAGCTGTGAGACGCAGTGCAGGTAAGGGGGTAGGAATTGCGCATGCATGCGCAGGAGGTGTGGGGAGGGAGGATGCACATTGCATTCTGGGTGCTGGCATGAGAGTGCACGCTGGCGTGCGCGCAGTTTTTAGCACAGGAGCCCAAGTGGTGCACCGCTGGTGTAGGGTCTCCTGCTTGGGTGTGTGTGTGTGTGGGGGGGGGTTGGACTAGATGACCTACAAGGTCCCTTCCAACTTTATTAATCTGTAAATTGCAGGAACCAAAGAATTGTTCGACTACAGATCCCTGTGATGGACGTCCTGACAATGAGCTTGCTGCTCTCTGGGCTTGCTTGTTTTCTTGCAGGCGTTTCATGACCAAGCTAGATAACATTATCAGTGCTAGAAGCGGGGTAGGGGTTGTGCTTATTTTTATTTAAACCCCAGTTCCAAAGGGGCTTCTGGAGGTCCTGTTCTCGTAGGTCCTCTGGAGCCTTAGAAAATTGTGTGTGTGAAGTTTTGGATGCTTCAGTGGCTTCACGAGAGCAAGATCCTCTTGTGCAACATCCAGAGTCTTGGCATGTCACCAAAAATGGCATGGTGTCACTTGCGACAGGCATGTCCTGAGTTTACCATCACCATCATTAGGGTAACACAATAACAGAGTCGGAAGGGATCTTGGAGGTCTTGTAGTCCAGCCCTCTGCTCAGGCAGGAAACCCTACACCATTTCAGACAAATGGTTGTCCAATGTCTTCTTAAAATCCTCCAGTGTTGGAACATCCATGATTTCCTCTGATTAATTGTTCTAACTGTCAGGAAATTTCTCCTTAGTTCTAAGTTGCTTCTCTCCTTGATTAGTTTCCCATCCATTGTTTCTTGTCCTGCCCTCTGGTGCTTTGGAGAATAGCTTGACTCCCTCTTCTTATGTTGGCCTAGATCAGTGGTCCCCAACCTTTGCGGCTTGGCAGCTAGGCTGGGGGAGAGGGGAACCAAGCTGTGTGAGAAGTGGGCTGGTAATCACACGTGTGTGTAACTCCGCTCACGTGAGCAGTGGGCTGGCATTCACATGCTGGCACACACAGCTGGACTGCATGTTGATGTCAACTCGTAAAGCATTCCTGACCTGCTCTTGAGTTGCCATAGGCAGGAGGTGGGGAGAACTGATGGAGAAGCTCGGTTGCTATGACCAGAAGCACATTCCACATATACCTTTCTCCAGATAGTATCCCAGGTTACTAGAGCCAGCTGGAGAGGCGTGTTTTCTACAGCCTATAAAGTGCTCCTTTGGAGAATGTGATTTATGACACATCCCGGGAGGGGGAAAACAGGATCATAGTTGGGCAGTAAATTACATGGGGCAGAGCTGACTGCACTTGGGAAAGTGCCGACATGTTGCTCCTAATAAATAATTTGATTTCTTTTGAAACTTGGCTCGAGGCTCATGAATTAATTAGGGCAACCTTCGGAACCCTGACAAGTTGAGCTGCACGCACACACCAGTCTGCCTCGTGTGGCCTGGGGGCTGGGGACCCCTGGACTAGATGTCCTCCAAGGTCTCTTCCAATGCTTCCAATCCCAAAACTATAACCACTTAAAAGACCCCTTTTGTCTGTCTCTCTCTTCTTTCTCCCCCCCAATCCAGATGGACAGCTCCCAGCTGATCCACTGTCGGGAGCTAATATCCAAGCACCTTTCCACACTGCAGCCTCCTCTGCTGCCCAACTCGGTCTACGTCTACAGTCCCCTCAAGCACAACCTGGTGACTTGCCCTGCGGGGGCCTTCCGATTCCACGCCCCCGTGGTCCCAGTCCCCGATTGGCAGGACAACAGCAACAGCAAGCTTGTTGCGCCAGCCAAAGGATCCGCCTTGCTCTGCCGCCGCCGCCGGCTCCCTCCCGGCCGGTGCAAGCCTGCGACGGCCAAGCGCAAAGTGGAAGAGATGGAGGTGGACGACTTCTACGACGGGATCAAGCGGCTGTACAACGAAGAGAATCCTCTGGATGGCGGGGAAGGGAAGGCTGCCCCCGGGTGTGGCGTTGACGTCCCGTGGCAAGGAGGCAGCATTTCTCCCTGCCCTCCATTGAAGCCCGTTTCTGTCATGTAAGTCCAGGGTTCCTCAAACTCCAGCAACTTGGAAGATATGTGGACTTCAACTCCCAGAATTCCCCAGCCAGCTCGGAGTTGAAGTCCACACATCTGCAAGTTGGTTAGGTTGAGAAACACTGCTGTAGTCCTATGTCTCCATGCGCCTTTGGTGGAAAGGCTGTTCGTGCAGATGTAACATCCAGGCCTTTTGGGCTAATGGAGGGAAGGCCGTACCTTAATCAAGTTACGCAGAAGGGAGCTAGCTATCCTTTTTTTAAAAAACAAAAACAAAATATATTTCCCCCTTTTCCCCTGGTTTTCCTTTGGCGGCTAATGATAGTTTTAACCGTTCTCAAAGTTCAACTTTTGATTTTAAGTCCCTTTAAAATAAAATAAAAAAAGACCCCCAAAACCAACCAAAAAAACTTAAAAAACTAAAAAAACCAAACCCAGTAGCAAAAATTGTTTCTGTAGTGTTGTTCGTTTCCATCGTTTTCGATCGACTGTTGTGTATTGTAATCTCATGTATTGTTTTTTGAAGAATTGACACGGCGTGTGCCGAATGCTTTTTTCAGATTTCTGACTGTGTTCTCTCTCCTTCCAAATTCCCTCCCTTTTTCTAAAACTTCTCTTAAAAACAATTTCGCCAAACTTCTCTTAAAAGCAATTTCCAAATTGTATGACTTCCAAGTATGGGGTTTTTTTTTTTTTTTTGCACTTTTATTTTGGGATAAGATTCCCTTGATAATCTTTCACGCCTTCTCTTTTGTCGACTCTTCTCTTCTTTTCTGTCATTTCTCCCACTTTTGGTCTTTTCGACAACGGTAGCTCAAACTGAAAACTTGCCTTTAAAAATTAATATTTTCCTTTTCACGAAAAAGAACCTTTGTATACATCTGTTCTATTTGTAGGAAGCAAAAACGGATGCTCAAGAAGGGTGGCTCTGTTTGGTTTGGGAAAGGGTTATTAAGCTGCACAATAACTTTAATGACTTTAATTTTATAGAAAACCACTGTGGGGCTGACCAAACCAAAACATAACGCCTTCCTTTTGTGTTTTTATATCTACAGAAAAAAAGTTTTGTTGTGCATCAAATGCAAAATATAATGAAATGAAAGAAATGGTGGGCATTGTTAAGCACCTGTGTCCTTTGGGCCATTTTGTAGCTTGGTGTATAAATGATCTTAGATTTCCCCCTTCCCTTATGTTTTCTCCCTGACCTTTTATGTTTGTGTAAATTTACAACTTTTAAGACAGGGACAAAAAAGAAAGGAAGACTTTTAAAGATCTTCTGTTTCAATTCTAAATGCACTGCTTCTTGGAATAGCCTTCTTGAAAGGATCTCCTTGATTTTAAAGCTCTCTTCACAGTCCCCCCTCATGGAAGGTACTGTGTATGCCGGTCTCACGGAGAAAGGCTTCGGGTAGCAATAAAAACAAATACGTTGTCCTTCAGTTTCTGAGTCTTGGTTTTCTTTCAAAAAACAACGTGTGGATGGAACGAATGAGCAGCTCAGCCTTGCAGCTGTGTCTCTTTGCTCCCTTTTGCCAACAGTTAAGGCAGCTTTAACTTTAGCTTTAAGGGGATGCGGTGGCTCAGTGGCTAAGACGCTGAGCTTGTCGATCAGAAAGGTCGGCAGTTCGGCAGTTTGAATCCCTAGCGCCACATCATGGAGCGAGCTCCCGTTACTTGTCCCAGCTTCTGCCAACCTAGCAGTTCGAAAGCATGTAAAAAATGCAAGTAGAAAAATAGGAACCACTTTGGTGGGAAGGTAACAGTGTTCCATGCGCCTTTGGCGTTCAGTCCTGCCGGCCACATGACCACGGAGACGTCTTCGGATAGTGCTGGCTCTTCGGCTTTGTAACGGAGATGAGCAGCGCCCCCTAGAGCCGGAAATGACTACCACGTAGGTGTGAGGGGAAACTTTACCTAAGGCAGCTTTCATTGCTTACTTCAGGGCTCCTCCAAACTCTTAAAACTTATGGACCTCCAACTCTACCAGCCAAGTAGGGCTTCAGTTAAGACTCACTGATCTTTCTGGATGTAGCTTTTGAGCCCTGAAAGGTCACACATCTGGCCTCATATAAGTAGTTCTTGACTTACAATCATTCATTTAGTGACTGTTCAAATTGCAATGGCAATGAAAAAAGGGACTTCATGACCAATTGTTCACATTTTTATGACCATTGCAGCAATCCCCCGTGGTCACGTGATCAATTTCAGACTCTTGGCAACTGGCGTGTATTTGTGATGGTTGCAGTGTCCTGGGGTTACGTGACTTCCTTTTGCGACGACCTGATAAGCAGAAACCATGGGGTAACCAGATAACAACCTTGTTCCTATCGTAACTTAATAACTGGAGTGATTCATTTAACAACTGTGACACAAAAAGGTGGTAAAATGGTGCAGAAATTTAGCAACAAACGGCTCAAATGTGGTCATAAGTTGAGGGCCACCTGTACTATTTCAGTCAGATGTTGGGGAGAACTTGGGAGCAAAGGCTGAAATATTAACTATCGCTGGGAGGCCTTGGGTAGCCATGGTGGGATTTGAATTCAATACAGATAGTTCTTGACTTAGCAACAATTTAGTGACCGTTATAATGACACTGAAAATAGTGACATGACCACATTTTTCACACTTATGACCACTGCAGCATCCCCATGGTCGTGATTTACATTCAGATGCTGGGACAACTGACTCATATTTATGACGGTTGCAGTGTTCAAGAGTCATTTTGCGACTTTCTGACAAGCAAAGTCAATGTGGAGAACTCAGATTCGCTTAACCTTGTTATTAATTTAACAGCTGCAGTCCTTCATGTAACGTGTGGCAAGGAAAACCATAACATGGGACAAATAGCGAGGGGAGACAGCCAATCTCATTGTACACATGTTGCACTCTGACAAAAAAGGTTGATTCGATTTGATTCAACCTTGAGCCGGTCAGGGATTGAACTGGTGGCAGTTGGCAGAATTATTCTGCAATGCTGCATTCTAAACACTGCGCCACCAGGAAGGAGAATGAGAAAGGGAATGGAGGGAGGGAGGGAAGGAAGGAATAGCACTTGTATAATGCCTCACAGAGCTTTCCAGCCTCCTCTAAGTGGTTTTAGTCAGCCTCTTGCCCCCAACAATCTGGGTCCTCATTTTACCCACCTCAGAAGGACAGAAGGCTGAGTCAACCTTGAGCCTGGTGGCATTCGAACTGCCAAACTACTGGCAGCTGGTGATCAGCAGAAGTAGCCTGCAGTATTGCAGTCTAACCACTGCGCCACCATGGCTCGCTCTTAACATAATTCACTTAACATAATTTTTAGCTCAATTGTGGTTGTAAGTTGAGGACTACCTGTATATCAACAAATCCTCGCTGTCAGTCTACCACATTTGTTGGGGCCGAGTCAAATGAGTAGCCCAAAGTCTGTTGCTTGAACTGGGACTTTTTCCTTTTGGGGTTCCCCACTGAAATATATACATGGTGGCTGTTCGCCTAGATAGAATTTAGACAAAGGCAACTCCGTGAATTGATAAATTACAGGCGTGGTTTATATATTTGTATGTATATTTGTATTTATGCATGTTATATATAAGACCATTCTGCTTGGGCAGGGATTGTGAACATTAAAATATAAGGATTGTGAACATTAAAATATAAGGATAGTGAAAATTAAAATACCATGTTCACAATCCTCGAATTAGCGGTCTTCGGCAACCACAGTAGATCTCGTTGCAAGGTTTAGAAGACAATAGACCCCAGAATCTGCTCTCATCCTCCTCTTCATCCCTCCCTGTATTTCCTCCAGAATGCGATCTGCAGACCAAGCATTTGGATGAACTTTGATTCATCTGGGCCACAGCAGAATGACAGCCAAGCCCCCCCTGTGGGCTTCTCCAGAATATATACAATGGGTAGCTTCGCTGACTCCCTGGCTATTTAAGCAAGGCAACTAGGGAAGCAGCTGTTCCTGGAGTGGGATCTCTAGCCAGGAGAGAGAGAGAGAGAGAGAGAACTTGGACAGAGTTGAAACAAAGGGAGGTAGTAGCATGACAGCCTGCCTTGAAACTGAAGAATTGGCTTCACTTCTCCACATACTTGGGCCTGGATTTTACGCAGCTCGCAATGGGAATCACAAAGCTGCATCGCATTTTTAAGGGGGCAAGGAAGGACTAAATGACCAAATCAGCATCAAGAGAAACTCATGGAATCCATCTCTGGCCCAATACGGAATTTTTTGACTTGTGTCCGTAGTACACGTACTTCTTGACTTACTTAACATTTCATTAGTGACCTATGCCCTATCGGCTCGCTTGAGGCAGTATATTGTGGTTCGCTGACAGCAGGTGCAGACGGCTGAGGTCTCGGAGAGCGAGGACTTAGATGAGGGGCCTGCATGTAATGCGAGGATGGGGTCAGGATCATCAGGGAGTGAAAGGAGGCCAGCAGCAGTGATGAAGAGGCCCCCCGAGGAGCCCATGACCAGCACACGTGTGCGCAGGGCTTCTTGAAGAGCAGCTGCAGCAGCATGGGCGACTCGGGAGTAAGGCTGCACGGTAATGGCCCCTCCCTGAGAAGATAAAAGCCAGCTGAGAAACTGCAGTTGTTTGCAGAAGGCAAAGAAGTTTGATACTCGAGCCTTTTTTGGACGTTAGAATTGGTATTTGGAGACTCTTTGATTTATTGTTTAGGAACTTTATCTGTTCTTGGCAGACTTGCAAAAACTTGGCAAGGCTCTTCCTTATCGGAGCTAATTAGTTGAAAGCAGCCTTTTATCGGTGAAGGAACGGGATTTGTAAATGAAACATTAAAAGGTGGTGCTGTTGCCTTTGTGTCTCGTGTTTGCTCTCTTGGATCCAGGTTTGGGTCAGAACACAGTGCTGAAGATGAACCGACACAAGTCATAAGTAGTGTAGCTACCTACTCTGAGCACAAAAACCACTCAGCCTCAGGAGCTATGATTTCGCACCACGATTGACAGCGTCAGTCATCCGAGCTTGGCAATTTGGTTGTAAATGTTTCATCGCTGTTCAAGGAGCACTTTGACTACGCATAAAAATGCATTTTAGGAATAAGCTCTGGACTTCCACTGTTGCAGAAACATCTTTAAACATCATTGGAAACGTGTATTTCATTATCAAGGCAGTAAGACATTAGGTGAACATTGCCGTAGGGCAAAAAATGCACATCTTTTCAGACACAAATCTAAAGCATTCAGAAATGGTGATCCCGGTAAACAGCCATAAAACCACATTAACACATCACTGCTCCACATTCATCCTGGTAACAGCAACAGCTAAGTTGATCACTTTTTAATTCCTGAAATGGTAATAATTTATATTAAAAATAAGATTATCTAGTTACTTTCCAGATAACTGCGGGGTGGGGGGCAAACTGAAGCATTTGTAAGAATCATTAGGCCTGTTAAATCAACGGAACGAAGAAACAAAGCTATGAAGCTTTGAGCTTCAAAGCATTATAACACAAAAAAAGAAACATTTCACAATCCATGGCATGGCCACTGTTTTCTTGAACTTCACTCCTGTTGACGATCCCAAGACAATGGAAATCCTGTTGCATCACATTTCTTATTTTCAAGGTTCCAGTAAGAATTGTACCTTCTTTTCCCAAGATAAAATTAAGGGACATGGTGGCTCAGTGGCTAAGACGCTGAGCTTGTCGATCAGAAAGGCCGGCAGTTTGGTGGTCCGAATCCCTAGCGCTGCGTAACGGAGTGAGTTCCCGTTGGCTTGTCCCAGCTTCTGCCAACCTAGCAGTTCGAAAGCACGTAAAAAAATGCAAGCGGAAAAATAGGGGCCACTTTGGTGGAAAAGGAACAGCGTTCCGTGCGCCTTCGATGTTTAGTCATGCCGGCCACATGACCACGGAGACGTTTTCGGACAGCACTGGCTCTTCGGCTTTGTAACGGAGATCAGCACCGCCCCCCTAGAGCTGGAAACGACTAGCAGGTATATTCGAGGGGAACCTTTATCTTCCCAAGATGATTGCAGCCATAATTCTAGGCCCAGCAGAAAATTCAATTCTTCTCCAATAGTTGTGTGCGTCCCATCCCAATTCTGGCACCGAACATGGGTGCAAAACCTTGCCTTCCTGCCTTCTACATTCTCCAGGACCCTCTCTGGCATCTTCTCCTTGTGCGTGCATTATTTTCCCGATCTCGATGCCTGAGAGATTGAGAATCGGAGTCAGAATTGAGCTGGAAGGGACCTATGGAGGTCATCTAGTCCAACCCTCTGCTCAAGCAGGAGATCC